ATAGTAAAAGGTTGGAAGACCTCAGTTTCACATGGAGCATTTGGAGATTTTTAGAGATTAGATACTCGATGAACAACATCTCAACACTAAATTTTAAATGGCTAGATACTGAATAGCCCGGGCTATTATTTGAAGTTTTATGGTATTCGTTTTGTTCATATCACATTTTTATTGTTAGTTTGAATTAATTTGACAGACAGCATTCGCTGATGATGACCAAGCTAGCACCATTCAGAGCTGCCAACTCTCACGAATTCACCGTGATACTTTTCACATGCACTCACGCCACACATCAATTTTGTCAGGCACAGAAAAATAGCAAAGCAAAGAGGACAAGGAGACCGACAGACTAAACAGAGCAGGTTAGTTATGATATAAAAAATCAATTTTATTATGCAATTTAAACAATAAATACCATTTTGGCACTTGTAAATGTTACACGACAGATCCCTAGCACACGTGAACCGATCATCTCTACTAGCTAATGGTAAAAGAACACGGACACTGTTGAAAGATACAGTATGCTACAAACTTACCAAAATGTATTACTCATACATAATATCGACCAATAATTTTTTGAACTCTTCCCTGAACTGAAATGTAGTAGTGGGCTGTACTTTCCACACGACTGGCATAAGGTTCAAGTATGCCCACAAGTCGTGCGAGTTATTCGTGTATTGCAGTTTGGCTGGTGGTTATGCTGCCCACCTCCCATAGCCGAAACTGGTATTATGACACCTGTCGGGCCGGGGCTAGTAATTTAGCATGTTAATTCAGGTTGATATCTCTGCAGCACTATAACTTGTCATTTTTAAAGGGGGGGTTTACTGCTTTTTTTCTTTGCATGATTCTGTTTATGGGGTGCAATATAACATGTATTCGTGGTTTTTATTTTTTTTTAAAAAGTCTTATTTTTCACTTCACCTTTATTGTAAGCCGCACTCTCCTCTGTCATCTAAATGACTGGTTGACTTCCTGATTCTATGAACCACTCCCTCAGAAACAGGCAGTGGGCTCAGATTGGTTAGTTCGGGCCGGTGTGTGGTGATTGGCTAAACTGTCGCTCACGTTGTCCGGAAGGTTAACACCCATTACCTTTACGGGCGAAACGTGCTAGTGCTCCGGTCCAGTCATGTAAATAATGGTGTCGAACTGCAGTATCAGTTTGAGGCAGAATCAGACCAAGAAAGCGGCGATGAAGAGAGGCAAGCAGAACCTCACCACATACGGCTCTAACTAAACGTTTCTGAATGATAATTTGTTAATTTTTTTTAACTTTATACACATTTGTTTAACACAATAGCATCTGACTGGCAACAATAGCAACTGATTGGCTACTAATGTTATACTCAAACAGCGTTGGCATTAGTTTACGTTCTTGATCAAATCGAAAATAACGTCATAAAGCTTATATACATACTAATATGTACTAATACATATATTAGTTCTTTAACATTAATACAAAATTCAGGTCCATAATGTTTATATGTGTTTGTCGTAGACACAAAATAGCATAACTAGTAGCCTAGTGGCTATAAAGCCAGTGCTGGCATTTGAAAAAAATTAAAACACAAGGCTAGGTCTGGAATTATACATGCAAATACATTTAAAATGATTAAGTCTTAGTCTACTTACAGGTTGTGGCCCAACAACTGCTGCCTCTTGTTTTAAAGTTGGAACTGCTTAATGTTTTAGTAACAGTTTCTTGTTAAATCCGGTGTTGAACTCGTGGAGATTCTGGAAGCTGTCTTCCATAAAATGTGCAGCACAGAGAGCTAGATTACGATCGTCACTTTCAGGAACATAATCAAACATAAATTGTATCCATTGTTGACGAAGTACAGCGTCCGTGGGAGTCTCGAACACAGAAGACCTGACAGCAGGGTGAACATAACACACTCGACGAGCCGCAGAAATATGGGCATGCCCTTTTTTTGCATATTCCGGAGGGAGGGTTGACATAAATGTATGGGTTAGTGACATCTAAAACCCAGCTGTAGTCCCAATCGAGTCGTTTTTGTAGGCAATATACTTCCTGATTTTTAAAAGACGATATCTCTGCTTACACTTGACTTTTAGCGCTGCAACTTTGCAGATACTGTTCATGCACCAACAGCAACATTACACACTATTTAAAATAAAAAAAAGTGAAATCGCAATCAACCCCCCTTTAAATTACATCATTATTTGACAACCTTATTTCTTCTCATTCTTTGATGTGTGTAGCTCATTTTTTGGATATTTTAACCTCAATTCTTACACATGGCACCTTTAAAGCTGCACTCAGTAGCATTTTTTGGGATTAAAAATTATCCAAAATACATATTTGAGAAAATACACAACCAGTCAGTGTTCAAAACTGTCTGCTTGCCTTAGCTCGATTCAAAGCAGTAAGCTTGTAGTAATCAGGGTTCGTACACCTTTTCCAAGGTCAAATTCAAGCACTTTTCAAGCACTTTCAAGGTCCATTTTAAAGTTTTTTCCAGGACCTTATTCACCGTAAATTACAAACCAATACATAGTAAAAAAAAAAATATTATTTTGCGGTTTTTCCACATTAAAAGAGATAGTATGAAATAAACAGGCAAAATTGTGTTTCGTAATAGCAGAAGGAGCAGATATTGAAGCAAAACACAGGTTTTATTTTTCAAAATGTTGTTAGAGGATTTGATCCAAATGACATGCAGTAGGGGGTGGGCGGTATGACCAAAATTCTGTTTCACGGTATGACTAATTTTATTTCACGGTAACGATATATTTCACGTTATAGTTATTTATACATGTAGTTATTCTCCAAAAATCATCATAAAGGGCTTTGTATACTAAATAAACCCAAATACTTCAGAAATGAAAAGTTCTTTTCCTTGTTTGACTTTTATTTGGCAAATAATTTTTTTGGCAAACTATTTTGACAGCTAAATATAGTGAAAAAAACATATTAACTTTTAGAAGAACTTCCCCCATCTGACTGATATTAAATACAACTTATAGGTGCAATTAAACTTTAAATAAAGTGTTGCTGAATCATTTTTCAATCTCATGTTATTGCTTTACCTTATCGATCAGTTTATAATATCTAAATATTTTAATTTGAACTATTGTATTCATAATAATTTAGTAACTTCCTTTTAATTTGGTAGGATAATATTAGCAATACTATTATGTTTAAATGTGTTCACCTGGAGCTTTCAAGAGACGTTCAGAATCAGTTGTGTCAAGTTCAGAAGTGACTAGAAGGAGAGCACTGCAGCAGTATGGAAACCGTACGTACAGCAGCTACTGTTAATGTTGACTAAGCAGTTATACACACCTATATTATACACACCTTGTAACTGCGTCATTATTTAATATGTTACAACTTACCACAGCCGCGGTACACACTGAAACACCGAGATCCCTCACACGCGATGTGTGCACGCGCGTCCTTTGCATCAGTAAAATGCGATCGGTTCATTTGAGCGTCAGGTTGTATCACGGATCGAATCAAATGAAGATTTTATCAGCTGGTTCAGAGGCCAATTGTTTAGAGTTAGAAATTTATAATTCGCGCTGCATATTTAGTAATTTTGCCTCAGGTACCGAATCTGAGACTACCTGGAGGAGGTACTCCGAGTTCGGCTGGTCCCAAACCGTGCCGCGGTTCGCGTGAATGTGAAAGAATCACGGACAGGACTCGGGTGCGCACTTAGTAAAGTGACCTGCGCATGCGTTTTACTTTTAGCTGATTATGATGTAAAATAAAAACACATGTATACGGGATGATAGTGTTGATGATTTACCTTGGATACGAGCGAGAAGTCTACAGTGTATTCGCACACACATATAGCCTATAGCGCGTGGACTCAGGCTAACAAATTATAGAAGTCCACTGTCTCCTGCGTTTGCAATCAGCAGAGAGCCAAATGCGATACACAGTAAACCTGTTGTTCACTCAGCTGCGCATAATAACACCACATTAATAAAAAACACAATATATTGACCCGCGTTCTGTTTTCTATCATGCGTCGTGCACGTTTGTGATGACGTAGGATGCACGCAAACGCACCAGGATTTGATAGAATCAAGTTGAGTGTGAAACCAGGCCAACGCTGCGGGGGGCGCCGGCCGGTAACAAACGCGCTCGGGCTGCAGCAAACGATTTATTTCGCCATTTAATAAACAAAATATTCAGTCAGATAGGTATTTGTTGTGAAAGAAACAGTTACAATTTCAAGCACTTTTAAGCATTTTATCCATAATTTAAGCACTTGTCAAACCTTGAAAACACACCATCAAAATTCAAGCATTTTCAAGGATTTCAAGCACCCGTACGAACCCTGAGTAATGTTTTTAATTCCAGTGGTTGTGGTGGATTTCCGCAGGAGATTCGAGCATGTCTTTCCGTCATTATGTCACATCTGTACACATAAAGAAGTAGGCTTTATTGTAGGCTCGACTAGTAGGCTATATTGCATGTGAGGATCCATGTTTGCGTTTTGGAGGTGGAGATTTATAGCTTTTTCTCACTGCACTTGATATAATTAAACTTATCAGTTTGGCGGATCCAGAAAGGTTCAAACGACAATCACCAGTGACAACTAGAAATGGCGAGTCAAGTCAAGTCAGGTCACATTTATTTATATAGAGCTTTTTACAATACAGATTGTATCAAAGCAGCTTTAAATTGATAACATGAAAATAATACAACACAGATCAATAATATTGTTGAATATTAAATGTCCCCAACTAAGGCAACAGTGGCAAGGAACCAAAACTCCATCAGGCGACAAAGAGGAAAAACGCTGGACTGCAGCTTTAAGCTAAGGCTTTGTAAGTGATCTCGGGAGAGCATTGTGGACAGCATCTGTTGTAGATCTGAGAGGTGTGAGACTAGTTGCAAGAAGTGTAAAAATGAAAGCAAGACTGAGAAAGATCTTACTCCATCTAAAAGCTAACAGTAAGGCCAGCAAGTGGAAAACAGAGACAATGAGGAAAGAAATGTGTACATGTATTCATCGTACCTCCTAGTCCAGGACGCAATCTGTTATCATAACCATCCAGCAAGCGGTCCAATATCCGGGTAAAGATGGTGATGTTGTCTTTGCTGTCATCGGGAATTGGTTCTCTGTGCCCGGTTACAACCCTGTGGAGAAGAAAAAAAGAAAGAGATTCAGGTCTTGTAAAGGAAGTGTTCCAGGTTTCGTAAAGGAAGTAAAGGCCCCAATATACTCACGGCAAAGTTCTTTTTTGTTTTGTCTAGGGGTAAAAAGTTGTTAGAAATACACACACTGTACAAAAATAACAGCTTAAAGGAGAACTCCGGCAAACAATGAACCTTTGGTCTAATAAAACATCGGTACATAGTCAACCGTTCTCTGAGATTTGTTTTCATGATAATCGAATGTAAAGAGTTTTATCTCTAAAAACTGTTTAGCGTATAGACAGCCTTTCCTGCTTGGAGACAGCCTTTCCCTTCTGCTGGCCTCCGGAATAGACGAAGAGCTGGGGCCTCATGTATAAAACTTTGTGTAGATTTCATCCTTAAAGTGTGCGTACGCACATAAGGCAGAATTTGCGTACGCACAAAAGTTTTCAGATTTATAAAACCGTTCGTACGCCAGAACCTGCGCAGAATTCACTTTATAAATCCCAGTCAGCGGGAGATTGTGCGCACGTGCGTCTCCTCCCCGAAATAACCATATATGGAGATTACAACGCCTAGTTTTACTATGCATATCCTCATCTGCATACCATTTGCATATGATTATTCACCCACGTGATACCAAGTTTAACGGTACGTTAGGAAAATATGAAATGCGGATGTGCCGTCACATTATTACAAACATATTTTTTTTAGTAGCCTATATCCTTGCCTTGTTTTTGAATGAATTAATCAAATAGTGTTAAATACATTTCAGATAAATTTTTTCTCAATCTTTTCCACTGGCCAAAAAGTATTTTTAATTGATTTATATTTTAATGGAAACAGATAGACATGGTTGTGCATTATTTGCACGAAACAATTTTCTCAGACAATCTGCTATTAGCTATCAGTTGAAAAACATTAAAACACAGCATTCCAGAGGGAAAGTGTAGGTCTATTTATATTTATTGAATATAATTTTTTGTAACTTCTCAGTAATGATTTCATGTAGTTTAAGAGTTTAACTCCATTAATGAGAATGGCATATTTAATTTAAATGTTTATATCAGAAGTAAAACATAGTTTAAATCATTCTTTTATTTATTTAAACTATTATTGAGAACATGCACTTATGATTTAAACTCATTATGAAGATTTACGGTTTTACTCCGTTAGATTATAGGCTATATGCGTCAGTTTCACAAAACGACCCAACGCACGTGCTGGCGTGGTCATTTAAGAAGGGATGGATGTTTGCTTCAAGTGATGATATCGGTTTGTGAAATTATATTTGTATTATATTTCTGTAGATGTATAATTTTCTTTAGATTCTCTGTCTAACAGTGAGCAAAAAGACATTTGACGCCAAAACACGTAGCCTACTCTTCTAAAAGAGTGCGTACGCATGGTCAAGAGCATCCTTACGGTGCGCACTTATTTGCGCCAAGTTTACTTTTTATAAATCCCGATATGTGCGTGGAAAAATGCGTATGCATATTTCTATGCCCATTTTGTGCGTACGCAACGTTTATACATCAGGCCCCTGGTCTGAGGTCCTGAGGCTTTGTGTTCTATCCACGTATAGGTGCAGAGCACGAATGGGACAGAGAAAAGCGAGGGCTGGATCTGCCTCCTCCGAGGGCAGAGCTTGCAGGTTCACCACCTGGTCCTGGAAGGGAGTGGTAGGAACCTTGGGCAGGTATCCGGGCCAGGGTACCAGGATAACATGAGAGTTGGCCGGGCCGAATTCTAGGCACGATTTGTCAATAGAAAATCCATGCAGATCCCCTAGCCTCTTAATGGAGGCCAATGCCAACGGCAGAGCTAGGGTCAAAGCTTGGCCACCCCTTTGGCCACCCCTCTCACAACTGCTGTTTCTGTCTCTTTTTTTATTGACAAGAATTGTGTTCTAGAAAGAACCACAAAAAAACTTGAGACTTTTTAGATGTGCATTCCAACTTCTCCTCAGCAGCAGGCACAAATCAAATGAGTGCGGAAATGTGCAGGTTACGAATGAGCTTCAGCAGAACATCAAACAGTGATATCAAACAGAATCTTGTAACTGGTGGGTTACAAGACCATTTTGAGTGAGTAGTGTGCAGTCAAAGAAACAACAATAAGCGTAAATCTCTTTTTTTTTAGTGCAACTTTTATTTTAGAAAATGTGTGTGAAAGCTTGTGACACTTCTGTCAGATGTTGAGAAAAGTAGATTGTCCTTATTCGGTTGGTTATCTTCGGTATGATGAGATGTTGTCAGGCCAAATGTCAGTAAAACTCCTGTCATACAGCTGACAGCCATTGTACTGTGCTTGCCGTGCGCACATCACACGCAAATGCAGTGTGCTGTAGCCGTAGTTTGTTCGTCAATTAACTCTTTAAAGATTAAAGCTGTTATGTATTTGTCACATGCATCATGTGTCTGGATTAAATTATTCTGCTATGCAAGATCACAATATAAGGCACAAATTGCCTACAAATTAATGTGAGCACTGTGATTTTGTACTAAGAAGGGCAGTAACTTTCCGTTCATTTTTAAAAGAAAAAGAAAAATTCATAAAATAAAAAATTTTACATTCTGGTAATTATGGTGCCCCAAACTCTGACTTTGCACAGCTGGGGGAAACACAACTTGCATAGACCACGGGGCCAGCTGTGTGCCAGTGCTGTGGGAGCCCTCGGACAGGAAGTAAAACAACTGGCAGTGTGACATGTCCGAGGTGGCAACAGATCGACCTGTGTGGTCCCGAAGCGCCAATTCAGCTGGACCACCTGGGGAAGGAGTACTTTGTCAGGGAGCACATCAGGTCAAGCTTTTGATTACCTCAGCCAGCTTCTGAACTGTGGAGAACCGCAGGGCACAGTCTCCAACAGTGCCGCCGAAAGGCCACCTAGTGAAATGAGAGAACTTTGGCGATGTCTCGCATCTCTGAAAGGTTTAGCCAGGGGGCGCTTCTGGACCACTAATGGCTCGTTTCCACTGAGTGGTACGGTACGGTACAGTTCGGTTCGGTACGCAATTATTTGCGTTTCCACTGTCAAAAGTTGTGAATAGCACCAAAAAGCCGAACCGTACCATACCACTTTTTGGGTACCCTTCCGTTGGGGTACCTAGCACAGTGAAAGGGTACTAAAAGGTGGAGCTAGACTCACTGCAGAACGGTGATTGGTGGACGGAGTATCGTCACTCGCGTGTGCTACAAGGGCATTAGAAGCATACAGTTGAAATATAATTCTACTGTTATTGTGTCACGAAATGTAGTTTTACGACTTTTTCAGGCGAGAAAGTAGTTTTTTAAAAATCAAATCTGTGGTTTATTTATAGATTTTTGATAATTTGACTGAGATCCATTCCAAGCGATCACCGGACGCTCGTGCTCGTGTCCCCCGCCTGGAACAGCCTTTCCTCGGCTAGTCGTTCTGATGTTTGCCGCTGACTCGGACGTCTCTGTAGTGGTTAAACATGAGATATAGTTCGTCGTGTATAAACCTAACAGGTGATCTTTGGTCTTGTGAATCTATAATTCGTTACCTGGCCAATTGTTTTGGCAGAAGGCTACGTGAAGTTTCATATCTTTGAGCGCTGAATTTGTATATTTGACTGACTGAATTGTTTCTTGATATTATTTAAGCTTTACTGTATTTTGTACCTTTTACGTATACTTTTATAATGGCTATTATTGATAAAACTGAAATTCAACAAAAAGAGATAGTTGTCAATTTTTTATTCTATTACAAGATCATCTGTAATGTTGTTTATTACAACATTTGTACCAATGCGATATGCAATACATTACGTTACATATTGCCTGAATATGTTTAATATTTTTAAATTTAAACGAAAAGAGGCAGGGTTGTTTTATATTTAGTTTTGTTATAAATATAACGTTAACTTACATAGGCTACATGCAGTGATAATCAATAGGCTATGCGTTGCCTGAACCACATTTATGTGCTTTAGAATGTTTAAAATGTATTGAAATGGAATCGAAAAGAAGCAGAGTGGTGTTTTATAACATATTTTGTTTTATTGTTGCCTAAAATATACATACAGAGATAACCGGAGTAGTAGAACGCGCTGTTCCATAACAGAATTACTGGACTCGCGTCCTCGGGATCATTCTCCTGAGTCGGACTTTGCGTTGGCTTCTTGGAAACGCCTAATGCCAGCGCTTGTTTCTAGTGACAAGATCTGCTGTCTGTCATCCATTGTTGTTTACTATGTCACTTTCTTCGCGCGAAAATGACGTCGATCACTTCTTTCCAGCATACCACGCCTATCAAGTAAGGGTACTGTTGGCGGTGGAAACGCAAGCCTGATCATGGTGGACCCGACCCGTACTGTACTGTACCGTACCCCTCAGTGGAAACGAGCCATAAGGTGGACATTATCTGGCAGAGGACCAACGCTGTGACTTTAAACACAGTCATTCAGCATGCGCAGTTCAACTTTGACTCAAAACTACCCTCAGGCATTATGACTGTAGCCTTCCACAGTTTTTTTTATTTTTTATTGCAGCGTTTCTGTCACATACAGGCAAGTGGCAGCCTGAAGTAGCACTGCTAACTCACTATTGAGGTTAGTGAGAGAGCAAAAAAAGTTTTCTGCTGCTTTTGACATGTTTGGCTTGCCATATTGGTGCCAAAATGCTTCCATACAGCAAAAAAGTTCTTTAAAAACATCCGGGAAGGCACAGGGACGATTACGCGTCACACTGCACCCCCAGTGTAACCCTGGCAAGCAGGGCTGTCAAGTCTGAATCTGATTCAGCATGATCATGCACATATAGTGGGAGTTCAGCATCATCTTCATTTCCAGACCGTAACAGCCTTCTCTGTGATGCAGCGATCGACATCTAATCCTCCTGTGGAGCCTTAATGAAATGCTAGGTCCATCATGTGAATGACCAGCAATCCCATCTAGAAGCTGCCAGGCATGCGAGACAGTGAATGTGGCTGTCATCTCGACGGCACACGACACGCTGATCACTTAAGCCTTAAT